TTTTGTTTTTTTTTTTTTTTTTTTTTTTTTTTTTTTGGTACCAGGGATTGAACTTGGGTCCTTGTGCTTGTGAGGCAGGCAGCAGAACCACTGAGCTAAATCCCCAGGCCCAGTTGTCAGTCTTTAAAGAAATTAACCTTGGAGTTTGTTTTCACTAACTCTGCTGATTTTGTGACCAACCCTAGGCCTCATGCCATGTGCTGTGACAGGGTACAGAGCACGAAGCAGCATCCGCCATTCTTTCTACGGAATAAGTCCCTCCCCGAGACATGGTCAGCACGCTGCTTGCCAAGGGCCCCGCTGACAGCTTGATCGTCCACCTCTCAAGGGTCTCAAGTGAAGGGAAGGAGCTTTCAGACATCTGTCTTTTATTTAAGAGGAGAAATAGTTGTGAAATACTTCGATGGTCCTATAGAGAAGGGAAAACCCCACCTATTACAGGAAAAAGCAAATTTGATAATTCCCTTTTTTCTGAGTGTCAGGGAGGATCTTGCTTTCTGGTAGAGTGGCAGGCAGGGGGGCGTCTACATGAATCTCAGGCTGGGTGGCAGTGCACCTGGGGTCTCAGAAACCTCTGGGAGCAAGGAACCTGGAGCAAGCTGAGTCTACGCCACAAAGCCTGGGGGTAGGGAGAGGGACTGTGCAGAAGGACAAAAGCTCACTCTGGCCCAGGCCCTCAGTGCTTCCAGGAGGGCAGCAAAGAGGGAACTAAGTGAAAGATGTGTTCAGGAAAGTGACTTCCAGCAAAGGAAAATCTAAACCCCAGCTTAAAGGGGCAAGGATAGTTAAAATAGCATTATTTAACTTGGTTGGTATTTATAACAAATGGCAATTTTAATTAATCATTACTTGTAATACTTCTTTCCAGTATAACTCCTGAATGCTACTAAATACACAAGAATTCAGACTGCAGACCAGCCAGGCCCTCCCTCATTTAAAACACTGCTGTGGGCTTCTGACAATAAGGCTGATTCCAGGGGGACCTTGCGTGTCCTGCCATTCACCAGCCGTTCTGACCATCACTGTGTAAAGAAAGGTGAAATAAATATTCTTGGAAAAAGAGAAAAGAAAGAGAGAGAGAAAAAAAGACTTGTTTAAAAAGGCCCAGAGAGCTAGACTCAAGAAGCTAGATATAGAAAAAGAATTATTATAGAAATTTATTACTATATTCAAGAAACTGCTCTGTGTGTGTGTGTGTGTCTGTGTGTGTATGTGTGTGTGTATTAATGGTACAGGGGACTGAACCCAGGGCCTTCAAACTAAAATACATCTCAGACCTTTTATTTAAAACATGGTCTCCTTAATAGCTAAGGTGCCAAAGCTGGGCTCAAATTCATCATTCCTCTGCTTCAGCCTCCCAGAGTGCTAGAAATATACACCAAGAGCAGTGATCATCTTTTTAAACTCTTTTTTTGCAGTGCTGGGGATTAAACCTAGGGCCTCTTGTATGCTAGGTAAGAGCTCAACCCCAGCTATATGCTTTGAAACAAAAACACCAGCAGTTTTACCAAATCAGACCATTTTCTTTATAAACCACAAAGTCCAAAGGGATAGAAGCATATCCTATGAGTTTAGCAGAAGTTTTATCAGTATGGAGCAGTATTATTTGATAAAGACTGACAACTAGGATGTAAACCATTTTAGTTTTTTAGAAACTGAAATCAGATGCTCTGATTATAAAGATACATGTAAATCAAAATAAATTATACCCTGGGATTTATCAGAGGTAATTTCCACCAATATCACATTTCACTGTTCTAAAACATTAGCACTATGGACAATAGTATTATTAACATAGTGAGTTCAGGACCAGCCTGATCTATACAGAAGATCCTGTTTAAAGATTAAGTGAAAAAAAAAAAAAAGAAAAAAAAAGATTAAGTGGTAGTAATTGTGATATATTTGTTTGAAGCTCCTCATAATATGAAGCAACCCTATAGTAAGACTATTATAGAGATATTCTAATCCTGAAAGAATTCTATTTAAGTACAAAAGATACAGTCACTTTTCATAGTGAAAAATGATTTGAAACCACACAAGTAGGGCAAGTTATTGATAAAGGAAATTATTTCATCCAGTGAATTACATAGTTACTAAAATCAAAAGATTGGTACTTCTTATTTGCAGTGAATCCAATTACACAAATGAAGCGATTAAGCAAATTAATTAAAAACAGGCCATATACTGGGCCGGTGATTTAGCTCAGTGGTTCCACCACCTGACTTGCAAACAAGTTTGCAAGTTTGATTCTGGGTACCAAAAATGACTATTAGCTGATTGATCTTGGAAAAAAATTACAAGTCAGATAGTATAGATTCATAATATAAAAATTATTCATAGAATACTATGAGAATATCCACGGGTCAGGGATTCAGCTCAGTGATATCTCACCTCGCAAGCACAAGGTCCTGAGTTCAATCCTTGGTACCACAAAAAAAAGAATACTATGAGAATATCTAAACCAAACTATATCTGTAACTTTTTAAAAAGAAGTTAAAGTGGATAAAGTATTTTTAATGACACAAAAGCATGGTCAAAACCTTGTAAAAGGAAATAAAAAAATCTTCATTCACACCTTATTAAAGTTTATAGATATCTCATAACACACTATGATACAAATTGCAAAGCTACTTTTGTGTCAGTAAAACATTAGATGAACTGGGATTATATGTTAAGCTCAAAGATACTAAAACAATTACAGGTTCAAACTATTAAATTTTATTTTCAATACTGTAATAAACTGTAATGAAAGAATAATTAAGAGAATCTTTGAGGAACCAAAAATGTGAAAATATGAATATCATAAATATAAATATAATTTAGATATAAAAATTAGGGGCTGGGATTTATCTCAGTGGCACCATGCCTGCCTCACAAGCGTAAGGTCCTGAGTTCTATCTCTGGTACCAAAAGGAAAAAGGAAAAAATGAGACCTATGAGAAACTGGAAACCAAGACTTTATAAATCTCTAAAGAAAGGGGACTACTCTGATATTCACAAATGTGACTTCTTCACCTTTAATATTATAATGAAAATAAATAGGATATTAGTAGTAGGAATGTTTATTAAATTTGGTTTAAAAAAAAGGAAAAAAAAAGCTATCTAACAATGAGGTTCATTAACCAAAAGATTCTCATCCAAATGACTGAAAAAAATATTTTTTTATTTTTTTTTTTTTTTTTTTTTTTGGCACTGGAGATTGAACTCTGGTCCTTGCACTTGCAAGGCAGGCCAACGAATTGCTGAACTAAATCCCCGGCCCCTCCAATAGTTTCTAAATACAAGTCAGGCATCTATCTGTCCAGATGATAACAGAACTACCTACAATTTCAAGATTCTTTCCTATCCTATAAAAACTCACCAAATTTACTCTCCCCAGAGTGAATCTTAAGGAAGCTCCAAGTACAATGTTCTCCAAGCAATATACAAAAACACTCACCCATCAGTGTTATAAGCTTATTTTTAAGCTGTGTGTCTAATCGTGCAATCATCATTTCCACCGCATTCCTAATTTCACGAACACGCTCATCTTTTGCATTTCTTACAGCTTCTACATTTCTTTCCTAGATGATAAACAGGTAACAAGAATTTTAATTGAAGAACTTAAAAACAGAAGTAAACAGACATTAATTCAATCACTGCGAGTATTCCTAAAATCAATTCATTATCTCTTTAAAATATGTAAGCAGGCCTGGGATTTAGCTCAGTGGTTCAGTGGCCTGCCTTGCAAGCGCAAGGACCCGAGTTCAATCCCCAGTACCAAAAAAAAATATGTAAGCAAATATTTTTACAAAATGTTGGTAGGTCACTCACTATTCTGAATAATGAACTAAATCAGTTTAAAAGATTTTTTAAAAATAACCAATTAAAGTATACTGAAGGGCCAGGGATTTAGCTCAGTGGTGCCACGCCTGCCTGGCAAGCACAAGGTCCTAAGCTCAATTGTCCTGAGTTTGATTGCTGGCACCAAAAAAAGAAAAAATAAAGTATTCTGAAGCATATTTAATAAAAAGAGGTGCTACTATAAAACACTGGTTTAGGTAACACACATAGGCCATGTGTGAAGTCATAATCACCTTCCTGATAGAAAACTACTTTTCAAAATCTAAAGCAGAAGCAGGGCATTGTGGAGCACACTTGTAATCCTAGCATTTGGAAGGCTGAGGCAGGACAATCGTCACAAATTCAAAGTGAGACTGAGCTACACAGCAAGACTTTGCCTCAAAAAACCAAAACAAGAAAGCCACCTCACAGACTGAAAAACCTAAACGAATGAAAAAAATGTTTAAAAACTAGTCTCTATTCTATAGTTTCGTTTTTGTTTTCAGAACTACGTACAAAAAGAGTAAGTTGTGTACAGTAGTATATGCAGTAGATTTCAAACAGGCACAGAATAAAATAAAAAAAATCCCTCCTATACTTACAACTCATTACTATATAAATACAAGGAATAAAAATCTCAACCTAGAATACTCTCCCTAAAGTGGTCAAGAAGAAAATAGATAAAAGGTAGTTAGAGGGGGCCAGGGATGTAGCTCAGCAGCAAAGAGTTCAATTCCTGGTATCAAAAAAGAAAGAAAATAAACAAGATAAAGACCAAATAGAAACCACCCAACTTGCTTATTTTTCACAATAACTTTGTAGCATATGTTTAATTCTACAGTACTATCTTCTGTATAAAGAGTGTTAAAATATTTGGATTTTGATTCTTGAAAGGTAAGACAAAGAGAACATCTGTTCTTAAGTTAGATAATATAGACAAATCTTATTTGTAACTGTCATTTTGGCAACTTTACAATAAATTCCAAAAGTATATTTAGTACTAAATGGTTGAAGCTTATCACATTTTTCCAAAGAAGTAACATTTTAGCCAGGCGTGGTGGCATACACTTGTAATCCCATTGCCAGGGAGGCTGAGGCAGAAGGACTGCTGTGAATTCAAGGCCAGCCTATATATAATGACTTCAAGGCCAGCTTCAACTATACAGTGAGACCCTGTCTCAACAATCACATTTTAAAATACACAACACTCAACAAAACTGAGCGCCACAATATCTGAAGAGTAGTTATTATCTAAATGTCTCCTAAAGCCTCATGTGGTCATAGGTGGGGCTTTTCAGAGGTGAATGGATTTAGGGATGTAATGCTGGGAATAAGGGATGTGATGCTGGGATTGATTCATGGTTTGATGCTAGAATTAAGGATGCCCCACGGTAGATGGGAGTGCTATATGCTATATTAGCCTGAATAGGACATAAGGGACAGAAAGAGGGCTGTTGGTCGTTCTCTGCTTGCTGCTTTTGCTGCCTTCTGCTTGCCATGGACTATTTCTTTCTGTGATATCACTCTGCCATGGGGCCAGCAAGTTATGGGCTGAAACCTCTACAGACTGTGAGCAAAAATAAACCTTTCCTCCCTTAACTTTGGCTGTCAAGTATTTTGTCTCAGCAATAAGAAAAGTAACTGAGATAGTACTAATAAATATTACTTCTTCAAGGGTCCGGGATGTAGCTCAGTAACACTGCACCTGCCTCGTAAATACAAGGTCCTGAGTCCAATCCCCAGTCGGGGGATATTACTCCTTCAACTCTGTAAGAATCTATTCAGGACATCTCAAATAGTTTTCTTTTCTGTGGAAGAAATCTTTCCAAAGCTGAGATCCAAAGAATGAATAACTGTAATGACTCTACTGAAGCCAATGTTGAGAAGTCAAGTATTGATGCTATAATAATCAGACTATTTTAACTCATTAGGGGACTCTCTAATTCTGCATGACAGTTAAATCTCTGGCTTCTGCTCATTCCCTATCAGCCAAGACTTTGGACTGAAATTCCTCAGCTCAATTGAATTTGATGAGCCTATTCCATTTCAAATCCTGGGGGATGGGATTTAGATCAGTGGTTTTGCTGCAAGGTCCCAAGTTCGATCGCCAGTACCAAAAATAAATAAATAAATAAATGCAAATCTTGATTTGAATATAAGGTTGATTTACATTATACAATATAAAAGGAATGCTCTTGTAGCAAGCACTCTTACCACTTCTTGAACTAAGCTGATCAGTTCCATGAGACGTCGACGAAGTTTGGCTACCTCTTCATTCACTTTAGTGACATGCTGCTCATAAATTTCTGCCAAAGGTTTAAAGGTATGTCCACCATGCTATTCAAATTAATAAGAGTAGTTTTAAAAGATTTTTCCAAAATAAGAACCAAGATGTCATGTAAAAGGTACAAGACCCCAATGATGAATGTAACTGTATTGTTACCTAAAATGTACCAATAAATTTAAAAAAAATATATTTTCCCATATCTCGTCAGCATTTACCACCACCACCCCACCTTTTGTGGCAGTTGGAATTGAACACAGGGCCTGAACATATACTAGGCAAGTATTCTAGTGGTGAGCTACATCTCAGCCCATTTTAAAATTTCATTTTGAGACAGTCTTGCTAAATTGACTGTAACCTGTGATCTTCCTGTCTCAGCCTCCAAAGTAGCTGGGATTAAAGATGTGCACCACCATACCTGGTTACATTCCTTTCTAACATGCTATGGACACTAAAAAACTGGTAAATATTTTTAAACATATATTTTTCAGTTACCTTTATTTTATTGAAGCAGGCTAGTGCATGCATAAAATCACGGGGCCCATGTAAGAACTCTTTCAAGATCAGAAATACTGGACTTTACCATAATGTTCACATTTACCTAGATATCATGACTCATCAGAAAAAAACAAGATCCTGGGCTGGGGTGTAATTCAGAGGCAGAGCACTTGCTTAGCATGAACAAGGGGTTCTATCCCCAATAATACAAAACTTTTTTCTGGCTTTTTGAGACCAGGTCTTGCTATGCAGTTCAGACTGGCCTTGAATTCACCATGTAGCTCAGACTGCCCTCAAACTCACGGTGATCCTCCTGCCTCAGTCTCCCAAGTGCTAGGATTACAGGCATGCACCACCACATCAGGCTTAAGGAAAAGAAAATTTTAACCATAGTCCAAATCATCTCTCAAAGCCTTATCAGGCACTCTTCTCTTGGGTGACATTAGCTTTCTTTCATATCCACAAATTGTACTAGACATGGTGGTACATGCCCATAATCTTAGTACTTAGGAGGCTGAACTACACAGCAAGATCCTGTCTCAAAAGAAAATGAAAAAAAACAAAACAAAACAAAACAAAAAAAAAACTCTCAAATTTCTTCCCAACAGATCTTCACAAAATTACTCTTCTTATTAAAAAGTAATGCCCACAGTAGTATACGCTCAGCAGCTCTCTATCTCTAAAATTTATCATACCAACTAAATGTAGAATTGTCTGATAGCTGTCTTGCTCATTACTAAATCCTCAGGTGAATAAACCAGAAAGATTTGAGAGGACCAGGCATGCAACACAGCGGTAGAGTACTTGTCTAGCATATGCAAAGCCCTGTGTTTGATCCCCAGGACTGAAAAAAAGAGAGAAAAAACAGAAAGGGAAAGAAGGGGAAAAGGAAGGAGAGAGGTATACTTGAGGGAGAAATCAGTGTATATAATTGGCAAAAGCTATGAATTCATTATTCATGGCACAAAAAATTACTGTAAAAGCTGGGTGTAAAAGTTGGCACATGCTTATAAGTAATTATAATTGAGAGGATGAGGAAGGAGGATCACAAATTCAAGTCCAATCTGAGCAATATAGCAACTTTGTGAAAACCTATCTCAAAAATAAAAAGGGGTAGGGATGTAGCTTAATGCAAAGGCCCTGAGTTCAATTCCAAATATTGCAAAAATAAATCACTGTAGAGATAAAAGGCTGATACAAAATAGCATGCCATATCCAGTTACATTTAGTTCAAAGAACAATTTTTTTAGTGCTGAAAAACTATTTTACATTCCAATTTAAAAAACATTATAGGGCCAGGGATTTAGCTCAGTGATTCTGGTGCCTGCCTCACAAGTGCACGGTCTGGAGGTTCAATCCTCAGTACCCACAAAAAAACAAAAAACATTATAGTTCTTCATCAGTAAGTAAGACTATTAGATTTCTATTATAAAAAGTCTTTGGAGCGCCAGTGCTGCAATCGGTTAGCACACTATACTTATATACTAAAAGTCCTACAATAGATAAAGTCTTATTAAAATAGTCTTAGCCAAAGTACCCCACATTGTTCTCTAAGAAACAAACAAACATACAAACAAACAAAGGAACTGTGGCTTTTATCATCTTTTTTTGAAACAAAGCCCTACTATGTTGCCTAGACTGGTCTCAGACTCATGGGCTCAAGCAATCCTCTCATCTCATACCTGGGAGTACCTGAGACTACAGGCATTTTCCCACCACACCATGGAAGATGTGGATTTTTAAGAATTCACTTAAAATTGGGGGAAAAAATATGGAAAACAATGTTTCCACTGGCTCTTACAAAACCTGTCTAAATATTAAACTGTAAAAAACGTTTTCTGGCCAGCCTATTAGTGTTCAAATGTGAACACAAAGCTCCTAAACTGAGCTCTACTCAACCAAGTAGGCCTATCACCCTTTCTTTAAAATATACTGACTGATACCCACAGAAACGATCAAGTCTCATCAGAAGTAGACAATTACCCACTTCTATTCCCACAATCACTTATTTTCCCCACTAAGACTACTGCGTCAGGCTATAGATGCAACTCAGAATAGCATGCTCTAGCCTCTGAGATCAATCACCAGCACCATGAAAGAGAAAAAAGTTTCTTATGCTTATTCTCAATCTATTTATGTTTATAATTGTACTTACTGCAAATAAACAATTTAATTAATATTAAATACATAATAACACATGACTATAAAATAACAAGCTGCTTATAGGTAAACTAACTTGAAAGCTTAAAACTTAATAAACATAGATTGTCTTAAAAATCCCCTTCTGAAGCAAGGCTTAGTGGCACATGCCTGCAGTCCCAGCTACTTGGGAGGCAATGGCAAGAGGTTAACTTGAGCACAAGGGTTCAAGGCCAGCCTGGGGAATAAAGTAAGAATCTGTCTTTAAAAAAAAAACCTGCTTTTCAAAGAGAATAGAACAAAAAAACTAAAAATTTAGGATGGAAGGATTATATACAATTTGAATGTTTGCACTGGATTGTCTCACAAGTTTGTAATTCTTGCTCTTTTTTAAAGAAACCAAAGTCAGAAATTATGGCCAAAGGGCCACAGATTTAGCTCAGTGGTGCCACCACTTGCCTCGCAAGCATAAGGTCCTAAATTCAATCCCCGGTACTTAAAAAAAAAAAAAAAAAAAAAAGAAAGTATGGCCAATATATCATATCAACTGAACTTTAATAAAAGAAAATGCCTTGATCCTACAACCAAAGATTTGGAGATGAAAGTTGGGCTAAGGATATATATAGCTCCCTGGTAGAACCTTTACCATGCAAAAAGGCCTTGGGTTTGATCTACAATACCAAGCAGGGAAGGAGGGAGCTAGACATGAATCTACATTCTATATATATTGGGTTAAAATATTAATTTAAGGGGTACACATTTGACATCAAACACTCCCACTTGAAGTTCTTCTGGAATAAGAGGTACAATAACTTTAATAAAGCAGATACATTTTAATTTTCATCCTACAGAGTAATGATATTACTTTCTATCTAAATCAAACAAATATTTAAATACCTCCCAATTGCTAACTAAAGACAGTATGGTAAATTTGTTCTGCTTACCATTCCTCCCCAAAGTGCACACTGATGGCAGATACACTTCTTACAAGTCCAGCAAAATACACTAAGCTTTTCATGGTGATTTTCACATCTATACATTTTGAAGAGAAAATACAGTTATAAATTAAGTAAATTAAAACTGAAACAATTGTATCAATATATTTCTAAGCTTGGGCAAACAGGTCAATTTTAAATGACAAGGCCTCCAAAAACACAATATCAAATCTATTCTATTTGAAATTTGAAAAATTAAGCTAAAGAATTATACACAGACAAATCTCTTGAAGTATTTTCATCACTATAAGCATATGCTAATTGCATATTCCTCTCTAAATTATGTACCAATATAGCACAAATTCCTACCATCACTACAAATGATACATGCTATTGTGTTACATTTTGGGCAAGCGCTTGATCAGACTGACATGTCTATACAGACATAAGCAAGTGTACATTTACAAATGGTTTTCCTACATGTGACCAGTGATAACATCCAAGGTATGTATTTCATTGCATACTGTAATACCAGAATCTCATAGGAAGTAAACAACTCAATTTTAAGTTTTCTCTTACACCAGATATCCATATGCAAAACAATAGAGTTATACACTCTGCTATGGACTGAACTGTGTTCTCCCAAAATGCACATGTTGAAGCCTTAACTCCCAATATGACTTGATTTGGAGACAGGGCCCTTAAGGAAGTAAATGAAGTCAAATAAAGTCATAAAGAGAAGTCCCAAATCTAATAGGACTAGTAAGGAAAGACCACAGGAGTAAATACATATATAACTAAAGACCATGTTAGGGTAGAGCAAGAAGGTGTCCATAAACAAGTCAAAGACAGAAGCCTCACCAAAAACCAACCCTGCCAGCACCTTGATCTTGGAATCCCAGCCTTAAGAAAAGAAAAAATAAATTTCTATTGGTTAAGTCATCCAGTCAGTGGTACTATTAGACTGCCTAGTCAGCTAATACAGACCCTTACATTACATCACATACAAAAATGAACCCAAAGACCTAAATAGAAAACCAAGAACTAGGGACCAGGGATTTAGCTCAGTGGCACTGCGCCTGCCTCACAAGCACAAGGTCATGAGTTTGATCCCCAGTACCTAAATAAATAAATAAATAAAACCAAGAACTAAAACCCTTAGAGAAAAAGGGGGAAAGTTCCACGACATAGGTTTGGCAATGATTTATTGGATATTATACCAAAAGCTCAGATGGCAACAGTAAAATTAAATTCGGCATCAAAATGTAAGACTTGTGTGCATTAAAAGTCCACAAAGTTAAAAAGCAAACTAAAAACAGAAAAAAATTGAAAATCATGTATCTGACAAGTAATCAACATCCAGATCATATAAAGAACTCCTTTAACTCTACATACACACACATACACACACACACAGCCCAGATTTAAAAATAGGTAAAATAAGGGGCTGGGGATTTAGCTCAGTGGTTCCACCACCTGCCCTGCAAGTGAAAGGTCCCAAGTTTAATCCCCAGTACCCCTCAAAAAAGGGTAAATAATTGGTCCAGGGATTTAGTTCAGTGGCAAAAGCAAACTCCTGAGTTCAATCCACAGTGGAGGAAGGGGTAAATAACGTATTCACATTTCTCCAAAGAAAATATGAGTTCACATGGCCAATAAACATATGAAGATGCTTGTACTACTATTAGTGCTTAGGAAAATGCAAATCAAAACCTCACATCCATTAGGATGTCTATGACAAAAATAAGTAAAATAAAGTAACCCCTGCAAGTACTGGCTGGGATAGAGAAAAACTGGAACCCCAGGCACTACTGGTAGAATTGTAAAATGTTATAGCTACCATGGAAAATAGTATGGAGGTTCCTAAAAATTTTAAAACAGAGCTGGGCGTGGTGGTGCACGCCTGTAATCCCAGCACTCCGGAGGCTGAGGCAGGAGAATCACCGCGGGTTTGAGTCCAGCCTGGGCTACACAGTGAGTTCCAGGTCAGTCTCAACTACATAGTAAGACCCTGTCTCAAAAACCAAAAAAAAAAAAAATTAAAACAGAAAGCCAGGCATATTGACCCACATGCCTGTAATACAGCTGCTCAAAATGTGGAGGTAGGAAAATCCCAAATTCAAGGCCACGTTGAGCAATTTAGCAACAACTTATCTCAAAATAAGATGAAGATCAGTGGTACAGTCCTTGCCTAGCATCAACAAGGCCCTTGGCTCAATTTCTAGTACCCCAAAAAAAGGAAAAACAAAAACAAAAAACCTGAAAGTAAAGTCTTGACGACATGAACACCAAATCTATAGCAGCATTATACCCAACGTTTAAAAGACCGAAACAATTCAAATATTCACAAAGATGAATGGAAAACAAAATGTGTATATACACATGGTGGAATACTACTCAGACTTTAAAAAAGAGGAAATTCTAACACATGCTACAGTATAAATGTTCCCTGAGGACATATTAAATGAAATAATCACAAAATGACAAATTCTGTATGATTTTACTTACAAGGAAAACTCAAAAATACAAGCTGGTAGCCTGGGATTTAGCTCAGTAGTTCCACTGCCTGCTTTGCAAGCGCAAGGACCCGAGTTCAATCCCTGGTACC